AATCAAACAAATCTAAAAAAAAAAAAAAAAAACAAAAGAAAAGAAAAAGAAAGAAAGAAAAAAGGAAAAAAGAAACAAACAAAAATAGCAGTAGAAAAGAAAGAAAGAAAGAAAGAAAGAAAGAAAGAAAGAAAGAAAGAGAAAACAAGATAATCGAAGATAAATAGAAGCTTTTAACACCTTTTGCCAATACCCCATAAATAATAGACTATTCCGTTCTGGTCGTGTGAAAAGAAGGGAAAAGATACTACTTGGTTTCAGTGAAAATAAGAAAGAAAGAAAGAAAGAAAGAACCAGATTAAAACAAAAAACACAAATAAACATTCACGGTCGCATGAAATGGAATAACTATACTGAATCAATTTCTAGGCCGGCTGCTAAGAATGCTGGTTCACTGAAGCGTGCTATACGATTTTTCTCTCCATAATCTATCTTACATATCTATAAGTCTTCCATTCGTCCGTGATTAGAATACAACTACCACATGTGGTCCGATGATCCTGCTATATATTTAGAGATCCTTGATAAACCCAAAGAAGAATCAACAATATTATCGGTTCTGACTTGGTATCTCGGTTTTACTCCGCCGCAAAGTTGTCTACCTGTGCCTTTTCTATAACAAATCCTTTCATGGTAATTGTTCAGATGACCTCTTCGCTATGGTACCTAGATTTTTTTTTATTTTAAATTTAAGCGAAGTACTAGATTGGCGTCGAGTTCTTATCAATTTACAGATTGAGTTGGCTGAGATGTAACTGCAAATTCTATGCTAACAGTTTCTTTTCTTGTGGAACTTTCTTTTGGCTCTATGCTTTCCAGTCAACTTTAATCTTCAAAAAATTACTTGCTATGTCAATCGCTACCGATTTTGAGGCACCTTTGGTTACATAATAATACACAATTGACCTAATTATACACATCTCATATCTTCAAAACATCAAGATCCATTGTCTTCAAATGAATTAATCTTATGAATCATCAAACCCTATAGGTAGGCGCATCAAAATCTTACGTATTATAAAACGCAGATTGTGTGTGTGTGTGTGTGTGTGTGTGTGTGTGTGTGTGTGTGTGTGTGTGTGTGTGTGTACGTTTATATATTGGATTTCCTACATTTTTCAACCGATTTCAACAAAACTTCACAGGACTACGTAAAATTACCTTGCGGTGGTTCTGACAGCGCCAAAAATTGGAAAAACACAATTGTTTTTGCACGAAATCAATTTGAAAATACGATTAAGAGGCATCACGAGAATGAAATGGGGACAACTCATATCGAGTTATACTTATTATAAAACCCAGGTTGTGTGTGTGTGTGTGTGTGTGTGTGTGTGTGTGTGTGTGTGTGTGTTGTGTGTTTCGTTTATATATGGGATCGGATTTCCTACATTTTTCAACCGATTTCAACAAAAACTTCACTTTTTTTTTGGCAGGTAGTGTTTCTTATTGTCTTGCACACTTTTTTTTTTTTTATTTTTACATTCAGAATGCTTTAAACATTCCATTTACAAGACAATTGTTTATAATAAAATTCTATTCAATCGGTAGACTCATAACGATTGAAAACAATGTTTTTGTTTGAGTTTGACCAATTCGTAAAAAAAAAAAATAAAAAATAAGCTAATTAAGACATGCGTGTCCGTCAACCTTAAACAATAATCTTTGCCAATTTTATTTTTCAGTCTTTATGATGGTCGATACTTGATCTATCTCTTACTGTTACATCTCCGGGCAACGCCGGGCTCTACTGCTAGTCATAAATATTATTAACAAACAACACAATATCCCTTGAACACTTTCAACTATTTAGAACAATAAATGAAAGTGTTCAAGTGATACTGTTTGTTATTTGTTAATGGTATTTGTGATCTTAGTAATGTTTCTGTTTTCTAATTCTTCTGCACCCAGTAACCCCATTGTCGTAGTGATTTGTTTGGGGTGAACTCGATTTTTAAAAAAGTTTTTTTTTTTTTTTTTTCCTCGCCATTTTAGGGTAGCTTTGTGCAAAAAAGAATGAAAACCATTTAATTGCTATAAAATATGCCTAGGATGATGTCCAGACTACGGTACGCCTACAAGTATTGCTCAGAAGTTTGGGTCGCATTATACACAAGCTATATGTAAACATCATTTTCAAAAACATTCAGGAGTCGCACTATACCTGAAGTAGACTTATACACGAGTATATAGGGTAAGACAAAGTGGAAAAGGTTTTAGTGTGACGCGTTTCGTTCTTTAGGGCATCATCGGACTAAACTGATGTTATCGGTATACAAACGCTTTCTCAGATCAATGGGTAAAATGGCTTCAAACGAATAACTCCTATAAAGATACTTCATCAGATTCTGTAGACTGGCACTAGAAACTAGTCCTCTCATTTATCAAGTCTTTACTGTCAGGTAGGTCTTTGAATGTCGTTATTAATGGTCAGTCATGTGAGGTGCATGAAACCAATGCTAGCATCCCCCAAGGCACTGTTTTCGATCATATTCGCGTTCTCCTTTGTATCATCGATCTACCTAAGAACACTTCTAGATCCTTAGTAAATATATGTTACAGCATGGGATGATTGACCATCCCACAAAATGTTTAATATCTAAAAAACACTAAACTAATTGAGTTTCTTTTTTCCAGGTTTTCAGATAAGACGTTTAGCCATCTTGACAGCATTTGTCGTAATAATCACGAAAAAACCCTTTGAGTTATTCAGCTAGAAAGAGAACAGGTCAAAATCATTTTGTGTCAGCTCCACTATATCTTCCCAAATGAGCAATGGGGAGAGGAAAAAGATCACTTAAACCTTCAGTAATGGTACCAACATTCATACTCTGGCTTCCATCTTCAAATTCCATTCAAGAATCAAGAGAACGGTGATAGGTTTTAAAAAGAGGGAACAATAGCGAGGAAAACTGAATCAGGAGATCACAACAGGAAGAGGGATCATCATTTCAACTTAGAAATAAATACATTCATATTGTTAAAAAATAGAGTGCAATAGTGTTATAAAAAAATCTCTTGAATTCCAGTAACATATATTTAATCATTTCTAAGATACAACGGTTCAAAGCTTAATATGACAAGTGGACAATTTTGCTGTTACACAATTTGGACAATTTTGCTGTTACACGGGGTATATGAAGATTATATTACTGTGTATGGATGCACCTCCAAATATCTTGATGGCCAGTGCCTAGCAGTTGATTTATCGTCTAGTCTAACTCTTAGAACCCAATGGGGAAAAGACTGGATGGTGTAATTGAATATATCCAAAACTAAACTCATTATATTTCATTACCACCAAGCAGACCCGTAACCAGTATCAATCCTGATTAGTCATACGCTCAAAAAGGCCTCGAACGCCAACTGATACTAAAGTTCATACCGGACCTCAAACGGAATGCATATATACGTGACATCGCAAAAGATGCTGGAAGAATGGTAGATTCAATATATCACTCTTGCTACTCTGCTCTATCTTTAGAGTCAGATCAGACCAATAATGGGCCATTGCTGACATATATGGGATAGTGCGGCTCAATCCTCACTGTCCAGTCTTCAAAAAGCGCTTAAGGCCTTGTGGAGAATAAATTATTCTCCACCCAGGAACCCTTATCCCGCAGAGTAAACGTCGCCAACATTTCACTACTCTATCGCTAATTACTATGGCAGATATTCGGTCGAGTTACAATCCACAGTGCCAGCATCTTGGACCCTCACATTTAGAATCCACCATACCTTTTTTCACGGTTGCAAATCATCCCCATTCCTTTCGTGTTCCTTTGATAAAAACAAGTTCTCTTCAGACAGCGTCTTCCCCAGAACTATTACTTTGTGGAACAAACTCCCGAGAGAACGCTTCCCTGACAACAAAAATATTGACGTCTTTATGTCCATCTTCAACCGATATCTATTTTACTCGTCGTCATAATACTCTTAATCTTTTCTCCCCCTTTAATGTATCTCACTCAGAAACCCTCTACTTTGAGTGGCCCCTGGGCTTTGTATTGGGAAAACTATCAGCCAAAAATTACTTAACTCTTCCAACAGCAAATGGGTAACACATAAGTAGAAGAAAAAAATAATATTTCACGTTTAAAAATAATGTTATTTTCACGCTAGCACAAAGTCACAAGTCATCGTGACCGAAGGTTTAAGCGTGCTTGCCTTTTTCAGACTGTTGATCACGCTAGATAACGCGCTATCCCCCAGAAATATTAACTAAGGTCCACTCAGCATAGCTGCAATATAAACCACAGGTCTGTGAGTGTTGAACAAACACAAATATTCCTGAGCAGGCGTCTGCAATTGGGGGTTAGCTAGCCGCCCTAGTAGACTAGCATTCTCGGATACGAGTGGCTGCGTCTTTTGTGTGGAGAAAACTGTTGTCAATACTATAAGAGTAGACTTGGGAAGTCTAATTTTCCGAAAAAAATAAACTTCAACTATTTAGTCATTTTTTTTTTTTTAAACGTTTCACTCCAAGCAAGGCGAGAAGCCACTAGGACGCAAGGGATTACAGAAGATTTGGAGCAAGATCAGATAGGAGTGATAGAGGAAAGGATGAGGAGAAGTATAGTGGATAGATCAAGGCAACTGGAGATGTCGATTGACATTACATTTGAATAGCTGGAGATTATAGCTCTCAGGGAAACTGGAATAGGGAAGGGAGTTCCACAGGCGAGAGGTGCGAGACATGAAGATATTGGAGTAGAAGAGACGGCTATATTTAGGAGTTTCAACAGTGAAAGGGTGAGAGCAGGATGCCAGCCTCGTAGGACACTTGAACTCATGAAGTCTGGGAACCAGCGAATGCAGCTCCTCGAAGCAAAGTAACATACATGATCATGTTTCTTTCGAAACATAACTGGCTAGGCAGAAGATTTTCCCGCAGTCGGTTATTTCTTTCCACTGTAGACTGGTTGCCAATCACGACTATAGGACCCAGTCTGTCTGTCCTGCTTTTGAACCTATAGCTAGGGAGGAGGAGAAACGGATTTGTACCTTTCCCAAGGTTATTAGTGCGTAGGTGAATGTAACGAACTTGGCTAGAATTTGAACTCGGTTCTCTGATTTCTCACTTCGAGCCGATCTCCATTGCAGCACAATGCACATCCTATTCGGTCAATGAATGCCAAATGTTTCCTGTGTGAAAACGGTTGATTCTAGCCTTACCCTTACTGTACTAAATTACGTTGTCTATTTATTTAATTTGTTTTCTTATTTCATGACCAGTGATTTGCTGTAAAAAGATATTAAATGTTTAATATGTCGACATTTTGAATTTCGCCTACTTTAATTTTCATTTTTTTTTCTCTCCCAGGTATATATTTCAATTGTATTTTCAAATGTAATTTCACTGAGTTGTACAACTGCTTATCTCGCTATCTTTAAAATGTCTATAACAAAATTAAGAATCGTATAAACTATTTATTTTTATTTGGTCGAGTTGTTTTATCACGCCAACCATTACGGCTCTGAATCAAGGTGGGAAGGTCATTAGGGCGGCAATCTGTATCATTACATAGCTGGTCAATGTAGGTGGTCGCTGGGCGGCAAATACGTCTTGCTCCATGGCGAGGTGGTTAGAACTGTAGATCACTCGTGAGTTCTTGTTTTCTGTTCCATATTCGGTTACAGTTAAGCCCTTTGAAACCGTTCTGTACGTGACGTCACTTACATGATGCGCATAAATAAGTAGATCATGAGCAGACTAAGGCAGACAACGGTTGATATAGATAGAAAAAAACTGAGATAAACTGTACGCATAGATAGATAGATAGATAGATAGATAGATAGATAGATAGATAGATATAGTTTGGGGCCACGCTCTGGAATTCGAAGAATCACCTAAAATTTGAAATTTGCGTGCCTTTTTCAAAACTAATTTACTCACTCATTTCAGGCAAGAGAGATTTTCTTTTCCTGAAGGGTTTTATCATATATCCAATAATAATAACAAAATTAACTCCTTACTGCATGAATTTTCCTTAAAATCCTAGCTGTTTTTTTTTAAATCTTCCTTGCTGGTTAATGGTAATCTTAGGATTGGTGGGTTTTAAATTTTACGTAACACCCTCAAAAAGATTGGACGCCATGCACTAACGAGTTAAATAGCCTCCTAGCGTAGTAGAAGGTAATTAAATCAAAGAAGTTTTGAAAGTAATTATTAAATCCAGAGAGAAACTCCAACTTTTTGATGTAAGTTGTACACAGTACTACAGTAATGTAGATTTGAATTGATTTGCTTTTACAGATTATCAACCTTTCGCAGGTTATTTAAAGTCAGAAAATAGTTTTATATTCTAAGATTTTGATGGGGAGTGGAGAAAATAATCTTACTAATTAACCCATAGTTGGGGGAAGAGGAGGTGGATTCATACATTTGCCAAGGCTAAATGAATATAACGTATCAAATTGGAATTGGAACTCAGCTCTCCATTACACTATGTTATCCATTACACCATTCATAAATCCAAGCTTATAGCATCTGGTATTCCCAAGCAGTCAACCATTTAGTTACTGACCAGGCTCCACGTTGTTTAACTTCAATGAACATACGAGAACTGGTGTTTCAACGTGATGGTGATCCAGTATATATATATATATATATAGAGAGAGAGAGAGAGAGATTTTGGGCAACCATATATATATATATATATATATATATATATAGGCATGTGTATGTGTGTGTGTGTCATTCGCAGACGGTACTGTTTCGGGGTATCACAGCTCCTCAAGGCGATTAAACATCCGAATACATCAGGCTAGGATTGAAACCCAACCTATTTGGTGTCAGTCAGAGTTTCTACCACTGAGATATCTTCATTCGGCAGATTTTAGCAGCTAAATCTAGCGTATTGTTTTTACGAATGTAAACGAATGCCAATCAACCGAAGTGCTCCATTCATTTTACTGAAGAGCTTTGCATTAGCGCAGGTGGCTGTGGTTTATAGAATTAGCTTATCACTCAACAAGGCTCAATGGAAATATATTTTTTCAAGAACTAAATCATGGTGGTCCAGTATATATATATATATATATATATATATATATATATATATATATATATATATAATATATATATATATATATATATATATATATATATATATATATATATATATATATATATATAGATAGATATATATAGAATATATATATATATATACATGTATATATATGTATACATATACGAATATATATATATACATATACGAATATATATATATATATATATACATATACGAATGTATATATATATATATATATATATATATATATATATATATATTATTAAAATGTCATATCACGTTGATATATATGGTTGAACCAAGCCTTGTGAGTCAAATTGGGTAAACGGAACCACCTAGTGGCCGTCGATAGCTGTGCTAGCACGAAGTCACAAGTCACGTGGCCGAAGGCTTGTGTATGTTGGCCTTGTTCAAATTGTTGATCACGCTTCCCAGAAACGCTAACTAACGTCTGTTCAGCATAGTCGCAGTATAAACCACAGGTGGGTGTTGAATAAGCACAAATGCGCCTGAGCAAGCGTCTGCAATAATAGACGAGTATCCTCGAATACAGTGACTAGCTATATATATATATATATATATATATATATATATATATATATATATATATATATATATATAATATAACTAATATTACTGGTAAATATACACAAACATATGCAAAATATATAAATATATATACATACGTGCATCCACATACATGTATATTTTTTTAATAAAAAATTCCAAGAGGATAAAATCCAGGTAGAACTCAATTTCCAGGACAGAGTAAGGATATGACCATGGAATATTAGTGTTTATGCCTTTTTTATATATATATATATATATATATATATATATATATATATATATATATATATATGCATCCATACATACGTATATATATACACACACGTATATATGCATGTATATATATATAACTTTCGTTTAATATATATATATATATTACTTTAAATTATATATATATTACTTTAAAGTAATATATATATATATATATATATATATATATATATATATATATATATATACTTCAAACGAAAGAAAGAGTGCGTGTATTCTTGCTTTCGTGTGAATATGTCTGTGTACGTGATTCACGTTATGCTGATCATATCATTGCTTAACCTAGATAATGCCATGCTGTAGTTGTGTCTCCTAACTCGATATTCCAACTCTCCCACACTAAATGCCAGACATCTGCAGTTGAACGGTGTTGATGGCTTCCACCTGGTCGAGTGGACAGGTCGACTAAAAGGCCATGACCATATCTTCGGCCATTTGCAAAAAAGAAAATATGAAAGAATAAAGATAATGGTAGTGAGAGATTTAACATAAAAAAAACAAAAAAACATTGTACTTATGTTTTTGTTTGTTTGTTTTGTTGATTTTTTTTTCTTTTTTTTTTTCTTTTTAAAAATTGTCAAACTTTTCTTCTTTATTTTTCTTTGGTTTTTGTTGCTCCTTCCTGAAGTGGTTGTCAAGTAGACTACCCAGCTCCTCTTAGAAATCGACCAATTGTGAGACGCCACGTTATTCTTAAGAGGCTGAGCCCAGCTAAAAAGAAACGCCAGAACTGCAAACTGAATCTTTTGATGTCGTCACAGATTTAGTGTAAAAGAGAACAGCGCAAATCAGAAAATGGCTATTCAGCGTTTACGTGGATTAACACTGCAGACGAAACGACATCCTTCCATACAAATATTTTTTGAGATTACCTTTTCTGGGCATTTTTTCCTTTATAGGCGCACTATATTATATTATGCGTTATAAAATTTCGTTTAATTTAGATTATAATAAATTTTCGAAGGCTCATTGGTTTAACGAAAGGTGCCATCCAAAAGCTAAGCATAATATTAACATAAAAATTTCGTTAGAGACATTGAAAAGAGTACTGAAATGTTATGCAATAACAGTCCTCCTATATGGAAGTGAATACCGGAAAGTCAGATGAAGAGAGATTTGAAGAAACAGAAATGTGTTTCTAGAGAAGGATGATGAGAATACCGTAGACCAAATATGCGAGCAACGATGAAGGTTTAGAGAAATTGGAAACAAAAAGACATTATACTTAACATCAGTTGGAATTTCTATGGTACATAATGAAGAAGGAGGGCTTGTGAATTTTGATACTCACAAGACAGACTGAAAGTAAGAGGGACAATAGAAAAAAAACGCATAACCTACCTAACAAGCTTGAGTAAATGGATGGCAGAGCAAGGTTTAGAGGAGAAGACAAATTTATTAAGAGGTACAAAGGACAGGAAATTGTGGAGAGACATGATCGCCTAAGGTTTGAAGGGACACAGTACAATTGTTTCAGTAATTTTTAAAGAGTTACACAGGAAACTTGTATTACATCGTTGGAATTCTTTTTTAATAAAGAAGTCTTTTGCGAATCATAAATGCCGGTTCTGAGTACTGTCGGAAATTACTTTGTTTGTGTCTAACTGGACATCGAATAAAGAAAGTCTTAAAGAAATAATTCTATCAATCAGCCTTCGAATTAATTTGTAATGTTTTCCTTTTATTAAGACCACTAAAGTACAATGTCCTGAAGAAGTTGAGAGACTGCATAAACTTATTGCCCGGTTCACACTCCTTCCCTGTCTTTTGAACAGGAGAAGTTTATCATTTGTTTCCTGGTTAGGATTTGGTTTCCTTCTCCAAAATCATTCTCATTTTCTTTCACTCCCAATAGCCCCTTGCGTCTTAATGGCATTATCACCTTGCTTGGGGTGAATTGGTATATATATATATATATATATATATATATATATATATATATATATATATATATATAATACAGGTTGATTGAAAATTAAGTCACCATTTTATGTATGATGGACCCTCCATCTACATAATATATATATATATATATATATATATATATATATATATATATATATATATATATATATATATATATATATATATATAACTATGAACCTAAAGAGTCAGGCAAACCTACCTAGGTTTCACCTACGCGGATCTTCAGGGTACGCTGGCTAAAGTGCATGACTGAAGGCATTATATACAATGCTAGCATCAAGTTAGACGATGATGTTAAATATTACTTTGGATCTCCTGAGAACAGCTGGAAATCGTGTTTTTACCACCACAAAATGACACTGAGCAATAACAAATACATCAGAACGCTTTCAAAATATGTTTGGCGATTAAAAAACAACCATAAGACCCCAACCATTAACTGGGAGATTTATCACGAAAGTTAAGCCATGCAGTGGAAAGGGAGACAACTGTAACTTGTATTCGTAAGGCAGGTTGAACTATATTATGTTACGTTTGCGTTGTTTTAGCTTACTTTTATCCTTATTGTTATTTCTTTTTACATGGTCTAAATTCATTGTATGGTTACTGCGTTCTAGCGCTTTGTTATATCTAGCTTTATTATCGTCAAATATTTCTTTGTTACTAGAGTTGGTCGATAATCTAAATTGTACCGATTTTTGCAAATTGTCAACTATCCTTTTATGGTGGTTGGACGAACGTATAAATATATTTCTTCCTCAGGTGTTATAAATACAATGCTCAATTTTATGAAACAGAGCTATAAGTATATGAATATACATAATATCTAACATCGATAGCACGACTCGGAGTTTTATGCAGGTTATGTGGTTGGATTATATTAAAACACTAAAATGACCCTAATTTATTGAATACGTGGTCCGAATTATATATATTATTAATAGTTAATTCTAATATTTTACGCAATAATAATTAAATAAACAAGTTTTAACACACAATTTTGAATCATCAGCACGAGAACGCGAACAACATAACGGTCAGAATATCCCTGCACTTGAAGATTGCATGAACTGCATGAAACTCCGAGTCGTACTATCGACGTTGGATATTATATATATTCACTAATCACTAATATATACTTATAGCTGTGTTTCATAACATTGAGCAATGTATTTATAACACCTGAGGAAGAAATATATTTATACGTACGTGCAAGTATTTGTGCGTGTATGTGGATTTTTATCCTAAACATTCCTCTCTCTCTCTCTCTCTATATATATATATATATATATATATATATATATAGAGAGAGAGAGAGAGAGAGAGAATGGTTAGGATCACTTTTCCATCTTAAGGTGTTGGAGTCGCTTTACATCAGGTCCAGGCAACCTGCTCTTTGCAAACAAAGAGATTGTTTGCTTGGACTTGCTGTTCTGCGCTTCTAGCAGCTTGGTTGGTATAATTTTAGTTTTTTTTTTTCCTTCCCTGTCCATTCATTCATGTCACCCATAACAGACTTTTTTCTTTTTTCTTTTTTTTCTTTTTTTTTCTTTTCCTCATAATCTAAATTCCCCGTTAACAGTTCTGACGAGAGGGGACGAAACCGGTCGACTGGTGTGTGTTTTATTTTAAACTTATCATGGCCTACAATACAACATTTCTAGTTTTTAATGCCTTAATATATATATATATATATATATATATATATATATATATATATATATTATCTCTTTTTTTTTTTGTATGTTTGTTTTTTCTGGGGTTTTTAACGACATATCAACACCTCTATGGGTTATTTATTGCCGAAATCTAAATACGTTACCCACCTCCGACACCAGAGGCCTTGCTGCTGGATGTAGTTTACCGTCATACCGAGACGCAGATTGAGTAAACTTTCGTTCTTGCCAATTTAATACATAGAAAATGATGGTAAGTTACTCCTGTGAACGCAGCTGTAAATGTCTGAACTGGTGGTATTAAACAATGGAGTTCGTTTGAACGATGGAAAAAGCGATAGAGGAGCAACAGGCTCGTGACTTTACGCCTGAGGCCAAAGGGCTATAGGTTGGAAAATAAGTACCCACCCCTTCCCAAAAAATGATTCTGAACTCTGTCAAATTAAGAAAGTGACTATATGACAGCAATACTCCATTTAGTCATTTTAGCCCGCATATGTAGCGTATCCCTACATCAGCATGGCTTTCCTTATAGTTCTTAATAAAATTTGTGTTTTCGCTATTTATCCTAAACCTGTCCTGCCAAACATTTACACAAGCTGGTAAGGTAGGTTATGGCAAGTCAATACTGGACAGTTTCCTCGCAGATGTCTTGAGAAAATATAAATGTAATTCTACAGAAGAATGCTGAGAATACCTTAGACTAAACATACTAGTAATGACGAAGGAAAAAAAAAAAAGGAAACTTGACCCCGACGTGATTTGAACACGCAACCTTCTGATCTGGAGTCAGACGCGCTACCGTTGCGCCACAGGGCCAGCTACCAGTGGAACACCGAAATCTAATTTAAGTAAAAATAAACTATTCTATTCTAGGACACGTCACTTTGATTTTCACAAAAGGATACTTCTATTTAGAATCAGAAAGAGACATAATGAAGGTAAAAGAAACCGAGAAAAGCAGTGAATAATCTACCTAATGAGCTTAAAATTTCTAGAGCACATAATGAAGAAAGAAGGTTCGGAGAATTTGACACTCACAAGACATAATGAAGGTAAAAGAAACCGAGAAAACCAGTGAATAATCTACCTAATGAGCTTGTTTAAATAGACAGCAGAACAGGGATTAAAAGGGATAGCAAAAAGATAAAATTTACTAAGAGCTACAAATGACAGGAAATTGAGGAGAGCCATTAATATTAACGTCTTCATGAGTCACGGTATATAAAAGAAGATGGGTTAATAGTCTTTTAGAAAAGAGTTTAACAAGGAATATATTTAGCAAATCTTTACTAAGTTGCGTCCGTTGAAAGATGAACTGAATTGAAAAAATGAAGTATCAGATAAAAAAAAAACGGGAATAATCTTGACCCCGACGTGATTTGAACACGCAACCTTCTGATCTGGAGTCAGACGCGCTACCGTTGCGCCACAGGGCCAGCTACCAGTGGGAAGACCGAAATCTAATTTAAGTAAAAATAAACTATTCTAGTACACGTCACTTTGATTTTCACAAGAGGATACTTCTATTTAGAATCAGAAAGAGACAGTTAAAATTTCTGGAGCACATAATGAAGAAAGAAGGTTCGGAGAATTTGACACTTACAAGACATAATGAAGGTAAATGAAATCGAGGAAAGCATTGAATAATGCGCTTGTTTAAATTGACAGCAGAACAGGGATTAAAAGGGATAGCAAAAAGATAAAACTTACTAAGAGCTACAAATGACAGGAAATTGAGGAGAGCCATTAATATTAACGTCTTGATGAGACACGGTATATAAAAGAATATGGGTTAATAGTTGTTTAGTCTTTTGATCTGATTCTTGGTCAAATTTATGTGATTTAGCGTTTAGAAAAAGAGTTTAACAAGGAATATATTTATCTTTACTAAGTTGCGTCTGTTGAAAGATGAACTGAATTGAAAAAATGAAGTATCAGATAAAAAAAAAACGGGAAAAATCTTGACCCCGACGTGATTTGAACACGCAACCTTCTGATCTGGAGTCAGACGCGCTACCGTTGCGCCACAGGGCCAGCTACCAGTGGGAAGACCGAAATCTAATTTAAGTAAAAATAAACTACTCTGGTTTTGATTTTCACGAATCAATTCAACACGTTTCTCGCACGCAATTAATTGACTTTTATTAGAAATTCCTGCTTAATTGCCAAGAACTGCTGAACATACCAATGGTTAGTACACCCACACACACACCAGTACACATATGAACACGCACGCACACACATACACATACATATTCACACACATGCATATACAAAGAGACATACAAGTCCACATGGCTTATGGACACATAACGTTGAAACGTCGGTTCTCGTACGATCACCAAAGTTAAGCAGCGTCCAGCCTGGTCAATGCCCAGATGGGTAACAGCTTGGGAATACCAGGTGCTGTAAGCTTGGATGTACGAGAGGTGTAATGAATAATGGCTCAGAATTGTTCATCGGAGAGACGAGTTCCAATTCTGGTTCGTTATATTCCCTTGTAAATACCCTTGGGAATGTTATGAATATACCTCTTCACCCCCAGCAATGGGTTAATTAGTAAAACTTGTACCGATAAACTATTACTATCTCCAAAACTAATATAAAATTATATTTCGGCATTATTAAATAAACCAGAGAGGTTGATCTACTGCTAAACAAAAACAAAACCGATAAGTACACATACCTGCACACACTATATATATATATATATACATGCGTGTGCATACAATCAATACATACTGTGTTTCCCGGTGTATATGGCGCATATACATTTGTATATCTTTAGGATAATCATTCTGCGACTTATATGCAGTGCCGTGTCAGATAATCTCTGGATCATGGCAGGTAATGTTTATTTTGGGCCCCTCTCTGGGGGCATTTTCTTTAAACCTTTAACAAGTAATTTTGAACAGTAGAAATATCAATAAGCAGCCATTGTGCCATATATATAGCTTTTAGTTACCTCCACTAATTCGCGATACCTAAGGTTTAAAATTATTTTTTATAACTGTAAAAGCTGCCTTGAAGCATTCATTTAGCTTTAATTGAAAGCTAAATATTGAATTTACCATTTCCACTAAGGAAAATACTCTGGTATATTCCGAGCAGAAATTATATTGATTGGAATTGATTTTCATTTTTTTCTTTATATATAAAATAGCTGATTAGCACCATTTTTTAATCGTTTTTCATCACACTGTAATTCTCATGATTAAAAAAACCTCGGAAGATTCCTAGTTAATGTGCAGCTGCTGTAAGGGACCCTCATCTGCCCTGGGTGGAGGTTCCTCATCGCAGCTATGTTGCCTACGCGCCAGTTTTTGTTAGCGATCGTACTCAGGAAAGATATTATTCAAAATGTCAAAATATCCTGCTTTTATATATTTTTTATAAGTAGTGAACATGTTTTTGCTTCTTTTTTTTTTTTTTGTAAGCGTACATAAAGTACAAAATATTATTTTTACGCGAAATCTTAATTTCACCACTTAAAAATTTGTATGAGTATTACATGACTAGCATCATTATATCTATCTGTATATACATAAAATTTATTAAATTTTATATAAAACTACTTTCAGGGTATATGTTATTTATATAAAACTACCTTCAGAGTATAAGCTATGCTATGAAATGTAAAGGGATATCGTGTTTATGCTTGGGTTCCATTCCCAAGCTGTCCCGTTTTATAGATGTTATATACAAATTAAATAGCCTGTATTCCAAAATTTAAAAAAGTCTGAATACTGAAGCACTTTCGGTCCTAAGAATTTCGGATAAGGGATTCTCAATCTGTAATAATAATAACACATGCCATGATGTGACACGAAGCGAGGCTACCATGGCTTCTAGTCTTAATTGATTGTGGGTATTAACATGTACATGTACATATTTTCTTTTTTTTGGTAAATTAAGATAGGCGACAGTAAATATCCAGGCCAATTTCACAGATTTCCTTGTCGTTTACTTGACTTTAACCAGTTGGGAATACCAGGTGCCGTAATCTTAGAGGTGCCAGAGGTGTAACGGATAATGGCTGAGAATTCTTAATCAGAGTTCCAAGTCTCGTTAGGTTTGTTATGTTCCATTCCGTGCAAATACACTTGGAAAACGTATGAATCCAATATTTAACCCCAGTTATGGGTTAATTAGTAAAACATATACCACTAAATTATTTTCTAGCTTTAAATAACCTGCAAAATGTTGATAAGCCGTAAAAAAACGAATCAATCACTCATACCTACACGTATATTGTATCACGCATACACGTATATTGGGAAAAGAGGAGGCATGGTGAAATATTGAATAGCGGTTCGGATTGAATTCCAGTTAAATTCATCACATTCACTTTGGGGAAAAGTATGGATCCTCTTCTTCTCCAACCCAGCTATGGGTAAATAGCAAGAGAGACTAGGTTCTATAGCCTTGGATGGCAACTGGTCTACTGCAGAGAAGAATGGCAACCTACTGCAGGAAAAATCTGCCTCGTCAGTCATGTATCGAAAGATACATGATCGCCTAAAAGTGTATCACGCATGGCACATAACTGACTGATATTGGAAAATGTAACCAGTATCGGTTTTTTATTAGCAATTGTATTGTGGGAACATGGATTTATATAATGAAACCTGATTCCGTGAATAGTTATTTACTAAGTGTAGCTTAGATGTGGCACAAGGCCGAAAGCGTGGGACACCTCCGTCGTAATTGATCTAGCGAGACAAATTTGTTAATCATCGCACCTCGTCCCCCAAAATGATTTTCAAAGCGTAGCTTAGACGTGGTACAGGGCTGAAAATATGGAGCACCTAGGGAGGATCGAAAATGTAGAGAACCCAGACGTAATTGATCTAGCAAGAAAAGTTTGCTAATCATTATCATTAAAAATATTCCGGGTTTAATTATTCTGCAAAGTGTTGATAAGCCGTAAAAAAACAAAAAAAAAAAAAAACGAATCAATCACTCATACATACATAAATAATTCCTTTTCTTATTAACTAATAAACAAATCGCCAGAATTTCTACATATTTTATTAATTATAATTATAAACATATATTTATATATACGAAAACTATCTAATATCTTAGCGAAATATGCAATTCACTACTCAATTCACAAAATTTTGGAGATATTTTAAACTGAATTTAAAACATTTTTTTAAATTCTCAAAGTTTTTTGTGTCACTTTGAACTCAATGTAAATTAAAAACTTTTTTTAAAAAATAATTTTTTTCAGTTATTTTAAAATTTGAATTTTTAACTGTCCCTTCTTCATCCGGACACAAATGTTCAAGCACCAGATGAAAGGCAGATTATCAATCCCGGGATCATCCTGTATAAGGTATAATATGTCTATGTAGAGCACGTGTGGCCCGGGATAAAGGGGTTTCAGGCACACAGACGGATAGACAGAATTGGCCGTTTATTTATTTAGATGTAAATTCATATTAAAATAACAGTCTACTGGTTATATGCATCTATTGCTATTAAGAAATAATACTTCTAGCATTTTAGCATTTATTTCATCATCAATTTCATTTATAAATGATGTCCGGAAAATCGAGGTGCTGATAATTGAGGAAGAACTCGATTTTCCGGACTTCGATTATAAATTAAATTAATGATGAAATAAATGCTAAATTTATCTAAGAAAATTACTTTTTCGATAATCCAGGTTTTCAATTATCCGGATGTCTGAATTATCCGTACATATTTTTCACACTTTGTCTCAATGTCCCAAAATAATCATGGCAGTATTTAATATAATTCTAAAAAAGATACATTAAAATTAACCCATGAAAACATAGTAATGACTTAACAAAATTAAGCAATCATTTCTTATGACATCTGTAAATTTCTTAAATGAAATTCACTTGCCAATTATAAAATCGTTTATAACGAACTTTTGTATTCCTGTCCCCAAGATATTATTTATTGCTATTTCTTTAATTTTATTTAGATCGTCTTGAAATAGAGAATGTTGAAAAGTATACAATAATTATTTCTAGATTAAAACCATTACAAATGTCTTCCCATGTAAATTTAATTACAAAAGGCCCTGACCTGAATTTAAGACAGATGAAAAGGAAGAGTCGAATCAGTCGGTAAAATTAAATGAGTCAAAAGAAGACGAGAAGAAGCGTCAAAGCATTCGAGTCAAGTGGGAGGAGGGGGGACAGTATCAGAGAGGGAGAGAGAGAGAAAGAAACAAAGTGTCTTGAAGAAAGGAAAATACATTGATAGAGATAAAATGGCAAGCTGACGTTTGCGTAGAGTAGGGGTGGGTAAAGTAAAGAAAAAAAGAAAAGAAAAAAGAAAAGAAAAGAAAAGAAAAACAGAGGTAAAAATTAATGGGAGGAAATCCAGAAATAGGAAACGAAAAAAAAAAAATGAAATAAAATGAGAGAAGACAAAGAAAGAAAGAAAGAAAGAAAGAAAATAAACAAAAAACAAGAAGAGAGATTAAAAAGAAAGGAAAGGCGCAGAAATGAAGAAAGAGAAGAAAATGTAGTGAATCAAGAAATAGAGAGAAATAAAAAATACAAAGGAAGAAAGAAAATGGAATAAAAAAAGGAAATAAATAACAAAAAGAAATAGGGATCAAATACAAGGGGCGCCTAAATAGTGAAATGAACAAAAAAAAAAGAAATAAAACTGAAACAAAATAGAGGAAGAGAAACTGCAAAGAAAGAAAAAAGAAAGAAAAAAACAAGAAATTACAAGGTATATAAATACACAAAGAAAGAAAGAAACAAGCAAACAAAAGAGATGAAAAAAAAAAAAAAACCACAAGGGAATGGGCGCAGTATCAACGAAACAAAAGGAACAAAAGCGAGAAACAACAAAAAAATTACAAAAGACAAAAAGAAATGGAAGAAAGAAGAAAGAGTGAACGAAAAGATGGCGAAGAAAGAAAGAAAAAAGTCGTACAAAACGCAATGAACGAGAAATGGCAATAAAAATGTAAGACAACAAAAGAGAAAAGGAGAAATCAAAACCGATACCGAGGAAGAATATACGAAACAAAAAGAAAAAAAAAAACAGAAGAAAGTAAGTTAGTCGAAATACAGAAAGAAAAGTACCAGAGAGAGAGAGAGGAGGGAGATAGGGTGGAGGGGGGAGAGAGGGGAGGGAGAGAGAGGGAGGAAGAAAGAGGGGGAGGAAGAAAGAGGGGAGGAGGAAGAGGGGGGAGGAAGAGGCGAGGGTGCTGGAGACAAGTAGATGAGAGAAACAGAACTAGAAAAAGGGAGAAGTGGAGGAAAGAAAAAGAAAAGGTTAGATGGGAAAAGAAATGACGACAATCCTCGTATTATGTAGAGGTACACATCGTGGGATAGAGTAACGTGAACCAGTAACGATACTTGGGTCTGAGAAATTAACACCACTTTGAAGGAGTGGTCAGGATCTTGGACCGACTGCTAACACTCACAGAGATGTAGAAACAGCACATTAAGGACACACTAAAAAAGACAATGAGCAACAATTTAACTTAAAAGAGATCATCTTACTGAGTGGTGTTGACTTTTTTTTATGCATTTCTACTACTTTCTTACGTATGACAAAGTGGAGATGCGTAAGACCTTACGTTATGTTTTACGACACATTTTGACTGTTGAAGGTTTGTCACCGCTTTTGATTAGGTCTGTGAAAGTTCTCACGGGAAGCGAATGATGGGGTGGCAAGTGTATTGCTAGAGTTATTGTGGGGCTGCACAGCTGAATCCCAATAAATAAATAATCTTTAATAAAAATGTATGTCACACTTAGGTGAATATTACCTTCAAAAAGCCACATTAACCAATTAATGTCCACTGATGGTATTAATGGATTAGAGGCAGAAACCTATAATTACTACTGGATTTTTATAAACCGCGTAATTCAAAGGAGGCACCGTGAAGTAATGGAATAAATTACATTCGTTTAAGTGCTAATTTGAAAGACACGAAGTCATCTTAACCTTAATTGACTAAGCAGCCGAGAAGAAAGAAAGCTCTGAATTCAAACTGGTCTGAGGTCATGCCACTACAACCCAAGGGGTACGAGATTTGTGAACGCAGTTTTATAAACTTTTCCAAGAAATACCGGATTTTATAAACCTATAATTAATGGTGGATTTTCTTAGAAACTTATAATTAATAGCAAATTCTTGTTTTTATTTTTATAATTTGTATCGGATTCTACGATGAGCTTTCATGGGTTATAGGTAGAAGACTATAATTAATACCGGATTTTTATTCTTATGTTTATAATTAACACTGGATTTTAAAGGGGGTGTAATTAATGAGTTAATATTTACATGCAAAGTTAATTCTAATTGAGCGATTACGGCCATATCACGTTGAAATACCGGTTCCCGTACGATGACCGAAGTCAAGCAACGTCGAGCCTGGGTCATTGCTTGGGAATGCTAGGTGCATAGGCTTGGATGTGCGGCTGGTGTAATGGATAATGGCTCGGAATTGTTAATCGGAAAGCCGAGTTTCAATTCCAGTTGAGTTCGTTATATTCACTTACGCGCAAATACCCTTGGGAAAGGCATGAATCCACCTCTTCCCCCACCAGCTATGGGTTAATTAGTAAGAATTGTATCACTAAATCATTATCATTTTAAAATATTTTCTGGCTTTAAATAACCTGCAAATGGTTGGTGAGCCGTAGAAAACAAATCAATCAATAAAACAGTGAATTCTGATTGATGCACATTTGGGTATGCAGGTAGAGTAACGGCCTATCGGTTGCAGAAAGTGAAACCAGTGTAATGAGTTCAAATTCTAAGGGAGTCTCACTTGTTAATGCCGCACTAATGTCCTTGCAAAAGGCATGAATCCATTTTCCTTTAACTATCGGTTAAATAGTAGGAGAGACTGGTAGGAAAATCAATCTTGGGGAAGGACAGTCTGAATTTATAATCAGGCTGAAGAGGGATGGGTCGCGTCAGGGTATTTGTTTAAATGAGATTTTCCCCCTTTCCAGATTTTACAATCCTTTCTCAAACGTTATTTGATATTTTTCTTCATACGCTCTCTTTACATCTTTCGTCTTTTTTATGCTACGGTCTCTTTACATCTTTTGCTTTTTCGTGGTTTGTCCTGTTTACATCTTGTGTTTGATGGCACATTCTGTTTACATCTTTTGTTTTATTGGTTTTATGGTACATCCTATTAACGGCTTTCATTTTTCGTGGCTTGTTCTATTTATTTACATAAGGGGTTTGATGGTAGGTAATACTTTTTATCTTTTATTTCATGCTTACGGTCAAGACACGCTAAATCGATTACCGAAGTTAAGCAATGTCGAGCCAATTCAGTACTTAGATGGGGTACCACTTAGGAATACGGGTACTGTAAGCAACCTCCTACAACCTGAAATATGTTTCGGCTTTAAATAACCCTATGTATGAAACACTGAATTCTATCAAACAGTGAGAAACAAAATATACTGAGATTTTCCAAACTAGCTTATTATGTACCGCTTAGGTGAAAACCTTGGTAGGTTTGTCTGGCTCTCTAGGTTTAACTAGGTCTGCTCTACTCATTGTATTGAGCACTTTATTTAGTTATTTTGCGTACTCGCATCGGTTTTTTTTTCTTTGGGCCTTGGAATTGTATGCTGGACGATTATTTTCGGCTAACGTACATGTTCTTGGTTCTTTCTTTTTTTATACCTTTTTTTCTCATTGGTATTGGCTTGTTTATTTGCAAATCAAGACACCGAAGGTTTTCCGAGCGAGTATAGTTTCTTATACTTAAAAGATTTCTATTAATAATACATACATACATATATATATATATATATATATATATATATATATATATATATATATATATATATATATATATATATATATATATATATATATGTATATATATATATATGATGTAAGTAGACATTGAAGTCAACACCCAGAGGCAACAATCTGTTTCCTGCTTAAATGCAATTCTCAGGCATGTCCATTTTATATATGCCTACACTCTATGCGTGATAGTGAGCACTCTATCATAAAACTATATTTTTATCATATATATATATATATATTATTTTATGGATACACGTGTTTGCCTAAATGTATCTTCCTGTTCATTTACAAAGAGTGAAATTAACGTCTACCGACCTAAGTCTTCGACAGTCTTATAAAAGAAAATAAAACTCTCAGAATGAAAAAAATATTAATTGCGTATGTATATACATATATACCTTTATATATACATATATATATATATATATATATATATATATATATATATATATATAGATAGATAGATAGATGTGTGTGTGTGTTTTGCTACGTTTATAATGGTCGACCTGGTTGTCTCTGGATGATAAAAGTTTCTTTATAATTACACTGCTCAGTAACAAATTATTATTATTATTATTATTATTATTATTATTATTGCCCCCCTTTAGTTAGTTCACACGACCGATATGCCCTGCCAATACCTAAAAAATAATGGAATATTCTTTTTTGATCTCATGGAAAGAGGGCAAAATACACTACTTGGTTTCTGTGAGAAAATGAAAGAGACAAAAGAAAGAAATAAAGAAAAAAGGAGGGAAGGCAGAAGTGGAGGGAGAGAATCAGATTAAGCTTATAATAACAGATACTACACTTTGTTCTTAAAATCTACTTGTAGAAAAGGTGCAAAATGAGCTTCAAGGGCTAAAATGGGGAATAATTACTACCACTAATTCATAGATCATGAAATTTACTCTTCATGAGACAAAAATCATTTTGATTTATGTTCGCAAATATTTTTAGAATATATATATATATATATATATATATATATATATATATAGGGTTTCCCCGAAAATGTACTGACTTTTTCAAATCTTTATTACTCGCGTAACCAAATATGAATCACTTCGTTGTTCGTTGTAATATTACTCAAAAGCAAAAATTTAATCTTGTTTACAAGTCAACAAACACTGCATTTATTGTAATTTAATGAGTGAGTACATTTTTGGGAACACCCAGTATATATCTTGTTGTAACCTAGAAAATGTTAAAGAATGAGGAATAACCAAAACGGAGGTTCTAAATGAAATGGTAATCTTTATAAAAATCACTGCGGTGGACTACTTAGACAGTATATTACCCGCTCCCCCCATACACACACACTTACAACAGTATCCATATATATATATATATATATATTTACAATAGTGTCCAACGTATTTATGAGGATTGTGCCACACCCATAATTGTTCGTAGATCCGGTATATATATCCTAATCTTCATAAATACGTTGGACACTATTGTAAGTCGGGGATAATATGCTCTCTAAGTAGTCCACCGCAGTGGTTTACCTACTTCACGCCACTGACGAGTATTGTATTTTGTTGATGTTATATATATATATATATATATATGTCTGTGTGTGAGAGAGTGTGTGTGTGTGATTGTGTGTGTGTGTGATTTTCTGTGTGTGTGTGTGTGTGTGTGTGTGTGTGTGTGTGTGCGTGCGCGAGTATGCTGATGTCCTTCGTGACAGACCTGCAGTGTACTTACGTCACTTTGGTGATAAAATTTGCTGGTCTGCCGCCGGGCTGAAGCGGCATATGAGACTGCACGAGAAAAGTCACTTAAAAAGTCTCCAAAAGCGTTTCATGTGTCACATGTTTAGAAAGGTATGCAGAACTGAGGCTGGTTTATGAGGTCATCGGCAGACCCATGGCTGATCGACTCAGAGTTTAAAAGTCGAAAAGATGGCTTTCTTCTGAAAAGAAGTGTCAGTAGTTATCATATATCATTTTTCTTCCTGATAGTAGAGTGCAAAAAAAAAAAACCGATGAGGTCTATTGACAATGTTGTTTCCACAGTATTGCTTAGGGAATAATTCTAAATATTTGTTGGAATCAATGTCAATGACCTCTGGCCCTACAAAGAGATCTGCACTATGGGAAAAAAGACTTTTTGCAGATGACCGAAAAGAAACAATACTAACAGGAAAGAAAAATGTGTATTTCACATGCGGTGACTGCAAAAATAAATCAAACAAAAATATGATACCATGTTTGTCATTTGTTACGATTTAGTTTCAGTGGGGTCGGCAAAAAATAAAAGTAAACTGATCGTCTGTGCATTCGTATGACATATTACGAACATAAGCAAAGACGGGATTTTGACGTCAGTATGAAAGTAGATGTGGTAGAAGAAAGCAAAGAATTAATTTAAACCAAATGAGTATCATAGACACGAAAATCAAGCCAGCCAAAATATTTCCTTCCTCTATGCAAAAAACTATATATATATATATATATATATATATATATATATATATATATATATATATATATATATATATATATATATATATATATATATATATATATATATATATATATATATATATATATATATATATATATATTAAAAATGGACAAAGTCCGACAATTTATTTATTAAAGACATTTTATGTTTAACGTTCTTTTTTTTTATATAGGATGCAGGTTCGAATCCTGTCAAAGGACGAATATTTTCTATGAAAATTTCTCGGACATTCAGGCCGGTAAATGTTATTTAATACTGTTTATTATAAACAGAGCATTTACTTGTATCTATAAAAAGAACATTAAACATAAAAATGTCTTTAATATATATATATATATATATATATATATATATATAGAGAGAGAGAGAGAGAGAGAGAGAGAGAGAATAACCATTCATTGAAGAATCCTCAACAGGATGGTGGTTTCGTCCTATTTGGGATTAACTTCAGCAATGCGCACCTACTACCGAGAATCGAACCCGGACTCTTACGATACAATGCAAGCGTTATACAACTGGACCAAAAATCCAAGGTTTATTTACTTGACCCCCCCCTACTGAGTCAGGTTGTGACACAAGGTCAGTTTTTAACATGAGGACCCGAGTGTTTTCACTCGGGACGCTGGTGTTAGCTGGTCATAGCTTGTCCAAGCTGGCCACAGCTAGTCTAAGCTACTCTTGGCTCGTCATAGCTGGTCCAGGCTGGTCAGAGCCGGTCTGAGCTAAGCGCAGCCGTGATCAGCCAGGATCAGGGTGTGTACGCCCCTCAAGTGAGCAGCCGACACCCTGAATCCTCATCGGCTACAATACCGCAACTGCGCAAAGCTCAGGACCAAAAATCCACGGAAAGAGAAAAATCCGCGGAAAGAGAAAAATCCACGGAAAGAGAAGCTAACTAGAATCAATATAACGCAGCTACTCACTAAATTCCGCTGGTGATACTCATCCAAGTATAAATAAACCAACAGATAAGGCTCCAACGTCTTCTTTCACCAAGCCAATTCCTCCAGAGCATTAGAAGCTGGATCAAATATATATATGTGCATGACAGTCTATATGCTGACTATAAAAAAGTGACGCTAGAGCTGTGAAATTCTGCATACATTAATTTCAACTCTTCTTCTTAATAAAATCCTTGTTTCCTTCCGGATAAATTGACATCTGAATGTAGAAAGTAGACTTCATACGTGTCTAGTAGCGATTTCTCTTAAAATGGACAAAATTTGGCATCGTGGTGTTATCAACACAAAAAAGGTTTATCCCCAAGGACATTCATACTGACATGGTTGCTACATTAGTAGATGACGCTCAAGCTTTATCAACAAGTGCAACAGTGAGCAGCTGAATTTAAGTGGGGAAGGGGAAATCTTGAAGATAAACCATAATCTGGATGTCTTGCAACTGACACCGCCAAGGAAAACATTGATCGGGTTCGCTATATGGTGATGGATAACAGGCGATTGACTGTAAATCAAATAGCCAATGCAATAAGCATATTCCTTGACAGAGTTGAGAATATTCTGTACAATGAACTTGGCATGATGAAGGTTTCTTGGTAAAGTTTTCTACTTGGTTGGGGCCACGTCTTCTGAATCTGATCACATCACGGGGAAATCTGACATATTTTAGAAATCTGACATCTGTCTGAGGCTGATCCAGCTGGTTTCCTTGAATGTTTCCTATCCCAAGATAAATGTTTGGTTCACCATTCTGAGTACTGTGCCAAATTGATGAAGCAGTTACGAAAGGCTATGAAGGCCAAACGCCCAGGAAAACTGACGAAAGGGGTCTTGTTCCATCAGTACAATGCTCCAGCGCACAATTCCTTGTTTTCAATAGCTGCTGTCTGTGTGTCGCTTGGGACCGGTTGACAACCCTCCCTATTCTTCTGATTTGAATATCTGTTATCCAACGTGAAAAACACATAGCTGAGAACAAGTATCGTTGTGATAATGACGTCATATCTGCGGTTTATTAATTTTTAGACCAAAAGGTACGATGCCAGTTTATCTTCTTTGAACAGTTAAATGTCAGTTTACCTGGAAAGAAACAATGCAGTTATTAATAATTGCATTGTTTCTTGAAATTAATGCATACAATGCTTCACAGTTTTATAGTCAACCTATGAACCTTTCAGCCCACCCTCGTGTATATATATATATATATATATATAAGTGATAGAAATTAGAAGGATGTGAGATAATCATAATTAAGTAATTCATCGAGTCTAGAAGAAACCTCAACAGAATGCAGAAAGCACTGGACGGCCGTTTCGTCCTATATTTGGGACACATCAGTATCCATTACCGAGAATTGAAACTTGGACCATTACGATATGAGATAAATGTCATACCAACTGTACCAACGGACTTCGGTGACAGAACGCGTGATCGAGCGGTGTTATATCGAGTTTAATTCGTTACTCACACACACATGACGGGTATTGAAGTGTCCTCAGGAAAATCCAAGTCAGGTCCGCAGGAAACCTTTCTCGTCTGAGCGATAGCGGACTTCCAAAACAACTTCTCTTTGGCCAGCTTCTAACAAGCAGGTCAATTGGAAGGCCACTTTTGCGTTACAAAGATAAACTTAAAGATAATCTAAAGCGATGCAGCATCCCCTTTTCTTGCTGGGGAAAACAAAGGGCCAGCAGGAAGGAGCCGGCAACTGTCCTTCTTCTCATCTATACTTAGTTTTGATCGAGGCCGACTTGAAGATCGGGATCACCTCCGTGCAAATATTAATGGAAGTTGGTAGCATGCTGATCCTCTCAATGATAGCCTTGCCTGTCACTGTGGCTTTGTCTCACGCATTAAAGCCGGACTAGCTGTCCACTCGCGGAAACACGTGGCAATTGATCCTCAAATACTCGAGCGAAATGGGTCAACGACATGTTGTATTTGTCTAAAAGTTTGCAAAACACTTGTAGGCCTTGGGAGACACATGCGTGTCCATAAAAGTTGAGAACCTTTTTATTTTACTGCGCCCTCATTTGTCATCTGCAACGAGAGAGTCAACCACATAAATAGATAGATAGATAGATAGATAGATAGATAGATAGATAGATAGATAGATAGAAAGGTGATGTAGTCGATGAATTATTTTCTATCCTACAACTCCTCTCTCACAGACACAATTTCCTAAGCCTATCAATATTTCCATGGAAAATGTTCTTACGAGTTACATTCCACCAGTTTTTTTTTCACCAGTTCAGGCCTTTACAGCTAGGACTCACCATTGCATATCCACAAGAGTGCACCATCCTCATTTCCTTCGTATTCCATTGGTAATCAGTAAGTCCTTTTCGGATAGCTACTTTTCAAGAACTGCTGCTTTGTGGAACAGCCTCCTGAATAGATGCTTTCTTGGCCATTACATTTTTCACCGCTTTAAGTCTAGGGTCAATCCTATATATCCTCATAATCTAAAAATGTTATGCTCCAAAAATAGCTGCACTCAGTCATTCTTTACCTTGATTTGATCTTTATTCTTGTATTTGATGAACAATAGCGTAACAAAAGTGAAAGTAATCACTATCTTTCCTAAGAAGTCATTGCAATTCACAAAGAAAGATAGCTGTGATAGACAACGCCCTGAAGTAACATGATATTAAAAGATTTTAGCTCATAATAAGTCTTATTCTACTGCTAAACTATTTTGACTTCGTTGAAATCACTTCGTAGGGAATTTAAAAAAATAAAAAAAATAAGCTAGTGGATTAAAGTGTTGGTTCGTGAATTTGGTGATCGTAATTTGAGTTCAATCCCTGGACCGAGCAGTGAACTCGGATTCAGTGAAAACGAAACGAGAAATAACTGAACAGTCTTAAAAAAAAAGAACTAGATGAGATATCCTTAGACATGAACAGTGGAACAAAAAGAATCTACCATCGTAGATTAAATAAAGGGCTCAGTTCGGAATTACCCGGGTCGGGATAAACCTGATAAAGGCTGGAGCGCCTAGCAACCGAAACGTTGTGATAACAACAGCAAAGATGAGGACAATAGTTTGCATGTAAGCAGTGTAAATAAAACGACAATCTGATTGCAAGATAAACGCTAGCAACAAGGTAGGACGTATTAAATTCCAATGGAAACATTTATACGTCATTCATTTGTTCATACATTGAATATTGCTGTCACATTTGGTCTGGTGCTTCTGTTATGTATTTAGACATTCTTGCTAAAATGAAAAGAAGAGTTTGCAATGTTATTGATCCTGACTTGGTATCTTGGCTTCAGTCGTAGCTTCCATGTGCTTTTTCTATAAATATTATCCTGGCTGAAACCTATGGTACCTAGACATGAATTTAAGCACAGTACTAGATTGGCGATATGGTCTTATCATTTTATAGTTCAATGGCTAGATATAAGTGTAAGTTCTATACTAACAGTTTCTTCCATCGCACTTCTCGCTTGTGGAACTCTCTTCAGGCTACTTGCTTTTCATTCAACTTTGATCGTCAACAATTTAAATGTAATGCTAAATGTTACCCCCTGTCTTCTTAATTACTGTTCTTTTATTGTTCTCTCTTCTTGATAGTGTTTTTTTCTCATCTTCTCTCGCACTCAGTAACCGCTTGCGTCTTGGTGACTTTATTGTCTTGCTTGGGGTGAAATGATTTTAAAAACCTTATAGCAATTCACAGATTATAAAGAAAAGGTATGAGTTATGATCTTCTACTTGCTGAAGGGATATGGCATTTGAAAAAAAAGGTGTAATTGTCTGTAATTATGAGTGTGTGTGTGTGTGCGAGGCTCCATCATTAGGGGAATGTATATGCGACTCTCTAACTATGCGTGCGTTTGCACAAGTTTCAATAATTGAGAGTGTATGTATGTTCGCCTGTAATGTTGAGTGTGCGATGTAGTTTGTGTTTATATGCGCGCTGTTTAGGCGCATCTTTTAATGGATGAAAACTTGGAATGATCATCTGCTGTGTCTGTGTCAAGTGCATGACAAAGCCGTTTCTCATGTTGCTGTCTAATGTCTACGACACCAAGTCATGTTTGATTTGTTGACGCATCGCACTGTCTACCAAAGAAGTGTTAGAATTTCATTTCTTTCTCGACCGGAAGGCACTCAGCTCACGCGGGTTCACTGTGCCACTGGTACTACTTAACTTACCCCCCACCATCGTTTTTATTGGCATGATTATTAAACGCTCTGTCTTTATAGATAAATAGCTATTCCACTTTCGGATGCGCGTGTAGAGTAGCAGATTACCGGAGCGGAAAGTGGCATCGGCGTATCGTATTCAAATTCCAACTGCTGCGGTTGCGTTCGCTTTCGCACAAAATACCGTTGAGAAAAGTAGACAGGGTTCTATAGCCTTGATTGGTAACCAGTCTAGAAGAAGGATAACTCTGAAATTAAAACTGGTTCGCCTTGTAACTCCATTAATAAAGAAAATACTTTCTATGGAAGCCATGACATATGCATACAATATCTGACAAAATCTTTAAGATCAGGTATTATGATTATTTACATTATTCGGACTGTTATCCTCATCTTCATTTTCATATTCACAACGTTTCGGCCTTCTTCAGGTAGTTGTAATTTCGAACTGAACCCTTTATTTCGTCCACCGGGGTAGATTGTTCTAGTTCCACGTGTCATGCCTCTTCCGGATGTCTCAAAGGGTTTGGTTCGAAATCCAATCAATAGAAGAAGGTCGGAGCGTACAAAGGCCGAAACATTAAGAATAATTTTTGTAAATAGTGTAAATATGTATACAATATCCCTCTTCTATTACAGATCTATTGATGGTTAATGAGATATGTACGTGTCAAAGGACAGGCCATTCATTGTAAGAGAACAGAATGCATCTCTGTCAAAAGGTATAGATCAAAATGTGAGTTATATATCAGAGACATAAAGATGAAGCAGCAAAAAAAAAACTATCTAATTATTATAGTAACAGTTCGCAGAATGTGTAACACAGAAATTTGAAGGCGCATAGCAATAACGAAAACTGCTTTTCAAAAACTAAACAAGTATGGGAAAATGTCCTTATACACGAAGAAAAATGTTTTGGTTACTATGTAATGTCTAATATGCTAATGAAGATTAGACAATTTCGCTTGAGGTGAAAAAAAACCTAAGTGACTAAGATGTGGTTTTACTGATGAATGTGCAGAGTATATGTGAGACAGAGTTTTTTTTTTTAAAATGAATAGGAACTCCAAAAAATTATTGCTTGCAATTAGAAAGAGAGGAATTTTAGATGAAACGAATGAAGAAAGGAATATTGAATAATTTAACGCACACACAGGATATATGTTGATTTACTAAGCGTAGCTCAGACGTGTCAAAAGAACGAAACTATAGGACACCCAGTGAGAATCTAATTCACTATTCAGTTGTAATTAATCTAGCACGTTCAAGTGCCCAAACAATTTACTAAGCTTAGCTTATTTGTGGCCGAAAGTATGGAACACCCAGTGAGAATCTAACTCACTATTCAGTTGTAATTAATCTAGCACGTTCAAGTGCCCAAACGATTTACTAAGCTTAACTTATTTATGGCCGAAAGTATGGAACACCCAGTGAGGATCGAACTCACTCAGTCGTAATTGATCAAGATGGACCTGGGAACAACAGCAATTAAGAGGTGGTTTCAAGCTCTTCAAACTCTCCAATCTCCCGATCAGAGGCCTTGCTGCCAGATATAGTTTATCGTCATACCCATGACACTGAAATATAAGAATACACACAGAACCGCAACTTGGTGACAGAGTCTTAAAGTTATAATGCTTTGATTTATTGCAGGTTTTTAAAGTATATTCTACGTATCTTCGGCAAGTACCTCGAAGTTGTCACCTCCAATACTTACTTAGAGCAATTATTTCGTCCATTTTCATTGTTTAGCACGTTGCAAACACATGGTGATTTCTAAAGAGCTCAAGGTACTTTCATGTGAAATGTTCACTAAATCATAGTATGGCCGATATGGGCCTATACAAGTGAGCAGCAAACCAAAATTATGTTCTTTTTGTTGTTAGATGGCATTAGAAACGTTTATGTTTTGCCTTTGCTTAGTTTATTGATTCTAACATTGAACATGAATGTAAATAAGCTCAAAAAATAATTTAATAATAATAATAATAATTGATAATTTTTAAGTCTACCATTCGTCCACACTTTGAATATTGCTGCTACATATGGTCTCGTGCTCCTGCTATATATTTAGAGATCCTTGATAAAATCCAAAGAAGAATCTGCAATGTTCTTGTCCTGGCCTGGCATCTCAGCTTTAGCCACATTCCCATCGTCGTAACGTAGCTTCCCTGTGTCTTTTCTATAAATACTTTCATGGTAACTGTTCTGATGAACTTTGCTCTGTGGTAACTAGACATTATGAATTTAAGATTGACGGCAAGGTCTCATCATTTTACAGATGAAACGGCTGGATGTAACCGTAAGTTCTATGATAACAGTTTCTTCTATCGCACTTCTCTCTTGTGGAATTCTCTTCCGGTTTCTTGCTGCCCAGTCAACTTTGATCTTCAAAAATTTAAATGCAGTATCAAGCTTCATCTTCTGTTTTCTTAATTTCTGTTCTTTTATTTTTCCCACTCTTTAATGGTGTGTTTTCTTTTTCTCATATTCTTTAATGGTGTGTTTTCTTTTTCTCATATTCTTTAATGGTGTGTTTTCTTTTTCTCATATTCTTTCACACTCAATAAGCATCATAGTGGCATCATTGCTTTGCTTGGGATGGGATGGTTTTTAAAACAATTATTATTATGTTTTGGTTTGCTTTGTTTATTGATTTTAACATTGAAGATGAATGCAAATAAGCTACATTTTAGGCAGAATTATGCTGTTTTTCATTTTAAGAAAGGTAAAAATGCATCTCAACTGAAAAAAAAATGATATTTGCATTCTTCATCATTTCATGGGCTTCCGATAAAGTTTTATGTTAATCTCGACAAAGGGCTATGAATTGATTCAAGACTGCTTTCGGATTCATGTTTTGACAACGTGGAAGAAATAAAGGAGGCTATATTAAAGATCTTAGACATCTACAATTTATAGAGCAACGTGAGGGGCTTTTAAGAAGTTTTCGAAGCGCTACAAGTGCATTAAAGTTGGAGTGTCCTAATATAAAGGAGATTACAGTTTTGTATTGATTTAAAGTAAATGTCTTCTGGAAATTCCACAAAACTTTTAATGTACCGTGTACATTTAAATCAGACATAATGTTTATAAAATGCCTAGATGAAATTAATCCATTTTTCTCTTGTGACGACTAACATTGACATCCTTGAATATAACTAATGATCAAATGTAATCAAACAAAAGCAGTATAACTATTAAAAAGTTTCTTTATAAATTTAACCTAGATCTACGTTTATTTGTAATCCGATTGATTGAATCGTTTTATCAAGGCTTATTAACCCATTACAGATTATTTGAAGCTAGAAAATACTTTTAGATTATAAGAATTTGAGGGAGATAATATAATAATGATTTAGCGATACAAGTCTTACTAATTAAACTATAGCCAGAGAGAGAGAAAAGATGGCTTCATACCTTTTCCAAGTGTATTTGCGTGTAAGCGAATATAACGAACCCAACTGGAATTGGAACTCCGATTAGCAATTCCGAGCCGTTATTTATTACACCACCCGCACATCCAAACTTACGGCACCTGATATTCCCAAGCAGTCACCCATCTAAGCACTGATCAGGCTCAACGATGCTTAACTTCAGTGATAGTACAGGAACCGATGTTTCAACGTGACGAGGCCGTAAGCGATATTTGTACTTCAAGTGAAAAATGTAATTTAAAAAAAACATCTGAGTCCATATCGGTCAAATTCGATAACACGTACTTAAATTAATTATTGCTGTCAATGTACATGTTATATGGTAAGGGCAATGGTAATATTAACCGTTTCCTTATAAGGAAACAGTCTGCATTCATTCACCGAGCAGCCAGTGCTATTGTCGTTGGAAATTTATAAAATCTTTCTCTTAAAATATTTTTTCAGGAAAATAGATTTCTGAAGTTATTGCTCTTTCCAGTATTGATGGGGGTTTCCTTCCTAACCTTTTGTTTGAAGTAATGTGGAATATCCACGTATTGATTATGTCATTATTTTCTCCTCGAGTTACATGTGTTATCCATACTAGTTGTTGCCAGTAATGTGGTTTATCTTATTTGGTATAGTACTTTGTTTGGGATTCTGTAGCGCCAGTCCATGGGGTTCGAAAAAGGATGGTATTCGCTACTAGCTCAAATTTAATCTTTTTTTTTTTTTTTTTTTGTTATTTTGTACAGTTCTTTGTTTTTGATTTTGTACCGCCAGCCGGGGGATTTGAGGAAGGATCGTCCTTGCTAAGACCTACAGGATTCATCACTGGGAGTTGTTACCATTGATCTTAGAATGCAGGTGTATAGAGCTGACAGTTTAGTTATCTCTGAATTATATATTAGTCATAGTTTCATTATTACTGAAGAATAAATTAATTACGCACCAAGTGCCTGTGGGTTTACCTAGTAAATACAACCATAATTACTAAGCTTAGACTCGTATTGTACAATGCCAGCTACAGTTTCATTCATGATTACTAAACTTAGCTACGTCTGTGACAAGTCTACAAGTTTGGCTAGTCATTTTGGTAATGAAGATAAACTACATTCTGTTCGGGAGAGTGGAGGTTTCGAGGAAATTTTAGCCACGTTAATTTTCTTTCATTTTTTTTTTTTTTTTACATATTTTCTTTCGTTCTCTTTTCTTTCTTTCTTCTTTATTATGAACAATGTCAACGCAATGTATTTCGGTCAATATTTTGAGGCACGGAGTTAAAACAATTAATTATGGTTCCAGCTGAAGTCAAGAATGAAAAAGACGCACAACGAAAAATTTTGTTGCTTTGAAATAGATATACTTGCTGATTCACTCGGGCTAAGCCAGACAAGCCCGACCTCCGGAGTCGCCACTGACAAATAGTGAATATCAAAACAAAAACAATACGCTATAAAAGTATAAAAATGCATTTTTAAAATAAAAATACCAACAATACCTATTTATAGCAAAATTACCAGCAATACATTTTATCTGTAGTTGAATATATGCAATTGCGTTAAATATATTTATATATTGATATTAAATAATACATAGAGGTTGATATGCTGCTAAACAAAGTCAACTAAATAACCAACACGAAAGAACTTTTTCGTGACATTAATCCATGTAATATCCTACGATTTTTTAAATCAAACTATGTTCCAAAATATAACTTAAACAAAACTACAGCATAAAACACACATAACATCGCCTGTAATACTTATGTCCACACAAACATGTATATGCACAAAAGCAGAGTATCATCTACCATGTATTCCATTGTGAAAGCAGAATAACGTATATCATATTTTTCATTACTTCAAAGCTCCCAAGAAAATTAAATTTCTGCATTAAATGACCCATAATGAATTGATGTGCCATTAAACAAACAAAACAAACAAGTGTGGAGCGCTCAGTTAAGATCAAATTAAATACAGTGGTAGTTGCGAACGGAAATCGATGTCAAGAATGGAATCAGTGAAACAATTTCAAATTACAGGCTAGTCTGAGTTTTTTTTTTTTTTCGTTTGAGTTGCATTTTTAATATTGTTAAAATGAAAGAAATTGTAATTCAGTTTCGCACTAAAATTATAAAACCCTTAGAAAAGTCAGGGATACGTCTCTTTTCCCCCCAGCTATAAGTTAAATAATAAAGCAAATCCCATACTTCTGCTCTGCCATATATTCACACAAACTCAAAGTTGCTAACTGATTCCCTCTACTCTTGCTTCTCTCAACACGCTTGGGGGTGTTAATTTTTCCAAGCCGACGTCCGTCATAATGTATGAACGGATGTCTCCTGGAGGCGGCACCGTTCCTTGAGAGAATATTGTGCCTCAAAGTCGCATCTGATCTCAAGTGGATACGATCCATCGCTATAGGTTCAGGTAAAAAGATCGGTTCTCGGTAACGCCCCAGTAAGCATCTGACTCCTCACGCTATCCGCTAGATATGGCCCCAAATAAATTACTGTTGTCATATTTGGGCGGGAGCTGCCCAGTCCTTAGTTTCAAGTCAAAAGAGTCTTCGAGCCCTTGTGGGAAAAGAATTATTTTACACCCTCCAACCTGTCTCTCACGGGCGGGATTTGGTAAGCTTCTCGCGGATCTATCGCTACTACCATGGAAAATACTCATTTCCTGGTTCCACCAGATCTGACCTTCATGTCTAGGACCCGCCATGCCATTTGCATCGTAGAAAAGCACCCACATTCCCTCCGTATTCTATGAGCGAGAAGTTCCACTCGAACAGCTTCTTCCTGTGAACAGCTGCTCTAGACTCCCAAGAGGATGTTTCCCCGATTACTACAATCTTAACCTGTTCAAGTCTAGTGTTAACCGTTATTTTCCTTTCCAATATGTATAAACTGCCCCTTAATGTAACCCTCTTCCTCCAGTGGCTCCGGAGCCTCGTAGAGGGCGAACCTTATTTTTAAAAAAGAAACAAAAAGAAGCTAACATAAAAAAGATTGCACTTTATCAAGAAAAATGATTTCCAAACGTTTCAGTTAAAAAAACAAACAAACAAACAAACAAAAAACTGGTTAACATACATTTTCTTCCTTTTATTTTCATCCTCTTTTCTTTCGGTCTCCCCCACCCGTCGATACCCATGCCTGAACGTCGTTTCGACATTGTGCGATGTTGCAAATCTTCCTTGTGAACGAACCTTGACATATCTCCAGCTGGCTAAGCAGATTTCCGTCACTCATCTTATGTCTTTTATTTTATTTTATTTTGATTTCATGCAAATAAGGAACCGTATGAACTGAACTGCTTTCACGTAACTAGGAACTCGACTCTCTGACCTACACATGCGCAAATTCCTGTTTGACGTCATCAAGACAATTTAAACATGCCTTTGGTTAGAAAAAGCGATTAATATTTTGACATACGTTTCGTATTTTTTTCTGTTTTTGCATTGTTAATCATTTCTACGCGTATTCTATTACAAATCTTTTTTTTTTCTTTCGTTCTTATTTCTAGCATTTAGAATTTTTTTTTACAGGCGCCTTAATCACAAAAGCCATCTTTTTCGTGTTTTTTTTTTAAATTATTCATTTGTTTGTTTTTGTTAATTTTACACACGCCTTAATGACAAGATCCTAAAATTCTTTCGCTTCTTTTTCTATTGTAGCATTTGTATTTTTGAAATCATGCTTTCTGTCCTTTTTACTGTATAAAAAAAGTAACTGGTGTTCTGTGTCGCCGTCTCAATTTATTTACGGTGTTGCGAAAGAAAGACATTGCAGATGCCCAACAAATAAAGCTGTCTTTGAGTTACTGCCTCCAACCACGTGAGTTTTAGCATTCCGGGCACCGGAAAAGCTGATAAGGGAAGTCGAATCATTTTGTCAGATATCAGCAAAAGAGACAACCCAAAATTTCAGCTCCATATTTGGAATGTCAAAATCAGGTATCTACAGAAATTTAAATATCTAGGTAGTGTACTAACATTAATGTAATCTAATATGTGGCAGTGAATGCAGAACAATCTTTTGACGGATGAAGAAGACACTTGACGTGACAGAGATGCGGTTCTATCAACGGATACTGCGAATAGCATGGGCTGAACATGTTTTAAAGAAAATAACTACAGGGACATTTATAAATACAATTAGAAAAAAAGATGGTTGTAATTTCTGGGACGCATAATGTAGACATAGACTCCAGAGAAGTTAACCCTGACAAGACATAATGAAGCGAAGTGAAGCAAGGAGAGGCAGCAGGTAAACTACGACTGAGTGAATGGATAGTAGAACAGAACGAATGAGAAAAGATCAAGAAAAAGGAAGTCATGGAGAGCCATGATCTCCTACATCATGTAGTCACACTGTAAATAAATGAAAAATCACACGAAGACATTTTCTCAAAAACTGTTGTAGAGTAGTTTTCACAGTGGAGGCTTGTATTTCGCTAAATCGGTCCTAAAAGGGTCCGACGTTCAAAACGTTAGGAACTTGAAATAAGAGTTAATGACGCAGTAATCTAGTTGTGATGGTTGATACTTCAATGTCCGACATAGACTGACTCACTCAACACCACTGAGCTCAACTGGCGACCGCTACTACTACTACTACTACTTATTATGTATGGGAGAGTCCATTACAATAGAATACGTAATGTTCTGGTATCGCACCCTGACTTCGGTAGATTTCCATTATTATTATTCTTTTATGCGCCGTGTGCTTTCAGGACGTAGGTGATCATGGCTCTCCACAATTTCCTTTCCTTTGTAGCTCTTAATAAATTTTGTCTTCTTATCTCTCCTAAACCGTGCTCCGCCATCCGTTTACTCAAGCTTTCTAGACAGGTCCCCCTTGCGTTCAATCTGTCCAAATTTTCCAAACCCTCTTTCCTCATTATGTGCCCTAGAAATTTCAGCAGTCTCTTCCTGATAATATGGGTCCTTTTTGTTTCCATTTTTTCTAAAACTTCGTCGTTCCTCACATGTTTGGTCTATGGTATTCTCAGTATCCTTCTGTAGAACTACATTTCTGTTGCTTCAAGTCTATTTTTCATCTGTGAAGAGATTTTCCAGTATCCACTGTCATATAGGAGAGTGATATTACATCACAGTTCAGTAATCTTATTTGCTTTTAACGAAATTTTCCTGTTTCTTGATACTTTGCTTAGCTTTTAAAAGGCACTTTTCTCTATCGACATGCGCCTTCAT